TAAAAAATAACAAATAAGGGTACATATATTTTTTTAATACATTAAAAATATAAATGAACCGACCTGTAGCCGCCTTGCCTTGCAACTCGTTATGTTCCGTGAATGGTAAAAACATGTAATAGGTGCCGTTTGTGTATATGATTTTGTTATGTCCGTTACTGACCAAACCAAGTAACAACAACAATCAATAAAAAAACACATTCTTACATCAGCCCGCGCCGATGGTGGTGCAAAAGCAACTGGTCCGTAATACGGACACGCAGGATGTTATCGGTGTTGACAACAGCGCCACCGAGACCGGTGGTGCGTGCCTTGGCCATCAACACAAAATCACGACGGAACAGTCCATATTGGATATAAGTAAATGCATAATGTACAAGTTCCATTACGAAGTTATGATGCCATTGTACGGACCCGAGCGACTCCTACTCTGTTACATGGACACCGATAGTTTCATTTACCTGATAACGACCAACTGTTTCCACGATGATTTGAAAAAGTACTTACTCGAATATTTTGACACGTCAAATTACCCGATCGACCACCCTTGTTACACCGATCGACGAAAAAAACAACCGGGCACGTTTACTGATGAATGCAAGGGTAAGCATATGCAAGAAATTATCGCATTGTTACCCAAAGTGTACGCCTATTCAATCGCTATACAAAATTACTACGACAGGTTGTTGGTTACGTGGCAAACGGACGAGGTGAAGCGATTGAAAGGCACGAGCACGGGTGTGGTGAAACATGAAATCAAAATGGTTGACTATTTGAATTGCTTGCGTGGTAAACTCAAGCAAACCCGTAGGAAAATGTCCGTAATACGCACGAAACACCATAGTGTTTCGACGGTTGAAATTAATAAACTCGCGTTGGTCAACAACAACAACTACGATAAGCGGGCGTTAATCGGTGACGAAGGAGAGTACAAGGACGTGTATACAAAAGCGTGGGGGCATTATTCTCTAGGCAATGATGACGACGACGAAGAAACAAATTAACTCAAAATTGTTCATTAGTTTTATTTAATAAAATAAATCGATACATTTTTTGTAATTTTTTAACCAATTTTTTTTTTATAAAAATGTGTAAATAAAACAATTACGAATTATTCGTTAACCATTGTTTCAAACACATTGCTTTATACAAGCTACACATTTCATAATTATTTATGTGACGAATACAACGTGGTTGGAATTCCACACATAATTTCCGCAGTGGTGGACAGTTTTCTTCTATTTCGACTACCCTCTGTCCGGGTAAATATTTTTGTAACACTTCTTTTTTCTGCACGCCTTTCACGTAGATAGTNTCTTTTTTCTGCACGCCTTTCACGTAGATAGTATCGCACCGTAACAACGACATTATTTTCGGTAGTTCAGTGTATTCCACGTCGCCAATGTTCGTGTCCAAGCCGTGATGGTTCTGTGCACGTGATTGTTATTGTAATCGTAGACCAGTGCAGGCAACCTGACTACCCATTTGTACGACC